TTATTATTATTATTATTATTATTATTATTAAAGTGCACTATGTACAAACCAAGATAAAATGCAAAACACTTTTTTCTTTATGGTGTGGTTCCACCAGGCTTGAATTGACATAAATTGATCTATAAGAGATAAATTTAAAGAGCTAGATCTCTTGAATAAATAATTAGCTAATCAACAATTTTTACAGCTGGAAGTTATCTAATCAAATGTCTTTATTTTGCATATGAGGATTAGGTCCTTGGATCTACTCTGAGAAATGCAAAAAAGTTCTTTGAAACTTTGAGACAACTCGAATGACCTCCCATTACCTCCTGCATTAAATTTAAGCCAATATTAGTACTAGATAGAGATTTAATAGAAGTTTTTAAAGTGACTTCTTGGACTTTGGCTTGCTTATTTCAGAGGGCATAGTTCTTACTTCCTGAGCTGGCATTTTCTACGGATTATTTTATCTGATAGTTGCATTTGAGTGATATTTGCATTTGGAATCAAAGGTGGATAGAAATAAAAATGCATTTAGAGCATCTTTATAAATAACACCTCGCTTTGTAGCCCCTTCAAGTACTAAGATGAATTTTTCTTCATTTTGAATATTTTAAGATGGTTCTTTTCAAAAAACAGAGGATAAAAGAGAAAAGGGAATGTTGAATTGAAAAGAAAAAAATCTATCATTTATTTAACACATATATTCCATTAAAAACTTTAGTGCATCTCATGCACTAAATTATCTCATCTAGTTCTTTCGACAACTCTGTGATGTAGGTAATATTCCTTTTATAGATGAAATAAACTAAGACTAAGTGATGAATATGAATGAAACTAAGTGATAAAGTAATGTGCAATGACCAAGTGGTTGGTAAATTTAGATCTGTCTGATTTCAATGCACCTTTTATTACATCATCTTTGAAACTTGGACTATAGTGAGTAAAAAATATATGAAAATAGGACATGTTAAAGACAGACATGAAAAGCATCCTGCATAACTGCCTACAGAAAGGTAAAGATGAAACTTAGAGCAAAACAATAGGACCATATAGCCAGGACGATGTGCATGCTTTTTCTGTTATGTGCTCAAAAAGTTCTGCCTCCAGCTGAAGAAACAATTCTGCTTTTTACTCTTTGTGTTTGTGTATGTAGCTAGAGTTTGGGAATTAACATTAATATCTAAATAGCAGGTCACTAATTAAACTTATTAACTACTAAAGAGTCAATTACAGCTCTGGGAAAGGAGTTGATCTTTGTTAACTGGTCCTCAAAATCTGTTTCCTCAGTGGCTCAATATTACATAAACTTATTGCATCGCAAGAAATGCACAATGGGCTATTTTCTTCTACCCAAGAAAATTATATTCATCAAATTTATTGATTCCTGAACGATAACTTAGAACCATTGACATCCAACTGAAATCTTGCAGCATATTTAGTTAGGATTATCTTAAGTCTATTATTAGAATTATGGCAAGAGAAGCTACAGAGAGAGAAATTTGTTTTCAAGAGAAGCTATACAGAGAGAGAAATTTGTTTCTCCCATTTAAAAAGAACGCAAGATCTTCTGCTTCTAGCTAAATGATGTAATAGGGACTGGGTTTATCTTTCTATCTGAAACAACTAAAAAAATTAGACACAACATTTGAAACAATGATTTTCAGCCACTGACACCAAGCAACACAAAACAGTCATCCCCGAGAGAAGAGAAAGGAATAAGATGTCTCTCGGCTTACCGTGTGAATCGTGTTCCCAGGCTGCTGCCTGGGAGGGGAAACCAGGTGGAGCCCAGCAGTCTGGCAGCTTTAAGAGGCAGAGTTAGGAATCCAGAGCGCCTAGGCCAGTGGGAATTCATGAGAGAAGAGAGAGGTGCACAGAGGCAGAGCTGCCTGCAAATTTTTTGCTGAGCATTGTTCAGTGTGTATATGAGGAAAGTATCCAAGGGGCAGAAAGAACCACCTGAAAAGAGAAAAAACAATCTCTGGAACTTATGCAGGACCAGGAATAGTTTGTGTTCACTCCAGAATAAAAGAAAAGCGGTGAATTCATGGGGCATTAAGTAAAGGATCTCAGCAGTGGAGCAGAATTAGCACTAGATAATAGAAAGCTCTGGTCCCACCATACAAATATTAAAAGTAAGCCTGAAAAGGATCAGACTTTTCCAAGTAATTTAACCACATTCAAGGAAAAAACTGCACAATATGTATAGAGAAATATCCAGTACTTAGAAAGTAAAATTCATAATGTCTGATCTCCAATAAAAATTACCAGTCATACAAAAAAGCAGGACAGTATGACCCATAATGAAGAGAAATATCAATAGAAACAGATTTATAATTATCTATATAATAGAATTAGTAGATGAGAACATTAAAGCAGTTATTATAACTATATTCTATATGTTCGATAAAGCACTGGAATGCTTGAGTATGTTAAGTAGAAACAGAAAATATTTTAAAAGACCTCGATAAAGCTTCTAGAAATGAAAAATACAATGTCTAGGATGAAAAAAATCAATACTCTTATGAGATTAACAGCAGATTCTATACTACAGAAGAAAAGATTAATGGGCAAGAAAACATGGCAATAAAAACTATTTAAAATGATAGAAAAAAAGGCTGAAAAAAATAAACAGAGCTTCAATGAGCTGTATTACAATTTCAAGCAGACTAATATATGTGTTATTCTGACTGAGTTTTCTCTGAATTAATTAAAATTTTCACTGCTGGGAAGAATATGGATGCTATATATAAATTAAGTTATAGAAAAATAACTATGATATCCCTTGGGGAGAAAATTGTAGGCAGTCATCCATGGCTGACACGGTAATCCTTAGTGACAGGATCTCAGCCTCTTTTTATCTTGTATTTCTGCCATGCACAGCTTCCATCCCTAAGGTCACCTCAAGGTCCAAGATGCCCTCTAGCAATTACTCCCACATTCCAGTAATTAGGAAAGAGAATACCTCCTGGAAGTTGCACAAACTTCTGTTTATGTCCAGTTGGTAAGAACATAGCCAAATCAGACATTTATATCTAGCTACAAGGAACACTAAAATGCAACATCAATTTTGGTTGGTCATATATATATAAGGGTTCTGTGGCTATGGTTCAAGTGAGCAATGAACATTAGAGGAACAATAAACACCCCCACACAGTGGAATGGAAGTTTTTGAGAAAAGGAAAATATCAGGCAAAATCTAGCATATATCAGGATTGAGATGGAGATGAATGGGTACATAAAATTAAGAGGGGGACTTTAGTAGAGAAATATATAGGAATAAAGGCATAATGACCTATGTCCCATGTGGAACTTATCATTTGGTTTTGCTGTAATAGTTAAGGTAACGCTAGCTGCTGTAACAAAACCAAAGAAAAACTGCTAAGCCATGAAAAGACATGAAGGAAATTTAAATGCATATTAGTAAGTGAAATAAGCCAATTTGAAAGGGCTGTAGACTGTATAATTCCAACTATATGACATTCTGGAAAAGGCAAAACTACGGAGACGGTAAGAAGATCAGTGATTGCCAAGGGTTGGGGTATGGGAGAGGGATGAATCAGCAGAGCAGAGAGGATTTTTAGGGTAGTGAAAATACTCTGTATGATACTATCACGATAGATACATGTCACTATTGGGATAGTTTTCTAGTGATTAGATTGGGATTGTGTGTTTTGAGGAGAAAGATCATAGTGGAAAAGTACCATCCTCATCAAACATCTCAAAGATACTATCAATATGACTTACCACTCTTGATATTGACTTTGATCACCTGACTGAGATGGAGGTGTAAGATTTTTCCTCCACAAAGTTACCTTTTGTTTTCTCCTTTCCACGCTATACTCTTTGGAAGTACATCAATATGCACAGGCCACACTTAGGGATGGAGAGTTATACTCCACCTCCTTGAGAGCAGAGTATCTACATAAATTATATGAAATTTTTCTACATGAATTTCTCTTTTCAATCATTTAATTTATATTAATAAATTATTATTAACTTATCCAATCATTCATTTATATTAGTATGACTCATGGAAATTTATTCTGCACTTTAGGTTATAATCCAATACTATTTATTTATCGTGTTGCTCAAATAGTTCCAGCTTCAGTCATTGGGAGCTCCTTCAGTTAGCACTGATGTCCCTTTGACATGTCCCTGTCATTGTAGGTTTTTTTTAACACTTTATTACTTTCTCATACTACAGCCAACTACTTTTTTAATATTAAATATATGTTTTTACATTCATTTTTATTAAGTTCTGTTATCTTGGCATTAGTCCATAACTCTAAAATGTTGAAATAATTTGACTTTTTCTTCTTTCATTTTTAATTATCTCTCCACATTTTGACTTATTGGAATATTTGATATCTTCTCTGTGTCCATTTAAATACTCTACACAAGACAAGATTAAGGCCAGAGTCCTGTGGCCCCCTACTAAAGATGCCCCCCGACCTCTTCTCTCTCTCTCTCTTTACACACACACACACACACACACACACACACACACACACACACATATATATATACTTATATATACATTTTCTCCCCACCCTGACCCCGAAAGCCTTAATTAGAACTCTTTCAGTGCCTTGTTCATTCATATGAAAGTGAATTTTATGGTATTATCTTCCAACTCACATTTCATCCTCTTATCCATAAGGACAAACAAAAGAACAGGAAGTCTATTGGGAGAGTTTCAAGTGAAGACTAATAATTATGAGGTGGTTCACTGTTCAGAAGTGAAAGGAGACTGGAGTTCAATGGGAGGAGAGACTCTGGAATTTTATCTTTCCTAGGAAGGAAACGGTTATCAAGTTTGGAGGACAAAAAGTAAGGAATGAAAGATGAATTGGAGTTACCTCTAATTCTCCACAAAGACTGCATAACATTGAACTAGAAGAGAAATCGCACCAAGTGTTTCACATTAGTTTCCATGACAGTAAGAAGGAGAGTAGAAGAGTCATGCTAGAAAGTGGCAGATACCAAGACAACCAACCCGTCTCTACAATAAACATGTATGTGTAGTTAAAAAATAAATGAATGTTGCAAGGCCGTAGCATGAAAAAAAATCTCCAGTGACTTCAATTTCAGCTTTCCCTTGCTGCCTGTGTTCTGATGTTTCTGAACTAGTCACTGCTTGAAGAGAAAACAGCACTTCTTACAAGGAAACTCATACTCCTGGCTTAGAGAGTCAAGTAAGAATACTGTCAAGAAAAAAAAAAAAATGGGATCAAAGGACTTCTTCTGAGGTTTTACAAATGCTTCTCAAAGTGAAGCCAGCAAATTCAGTTTAAGACCCGAGACATTCTCCAGCATGATTTCCCAGAATAAATGTTCAAGTTTCATCACATTTCAAGTGTGCTCATTCAGTGCCCTCAGGGGATAATGGCTACCATTCACAGAACATCTACTATGTGCGAGCCTTATGTTTTCCCTGATTCTCATAACAACCTTTTGGAACAGGTGTGAGTCTTTTCATTTACAGATTTGAATTGAGT